TCCCTATATGGGAGCAGACAACCGAAGAAGTCCCAAGTGTGTGGGATTATTCAGAAGTCTGAGACCGTTGCCAATAGGACCAACAGATGCGCCTTAGCATCAAGTCAATTGAGAGCCAGGGGTAGAAATAGGTGTCGTGTACAAGTTGTTGTTCGACACCAAGGAAGTTGTGACTATCGCAACTCTTGATGGTGGCTAAGCCTCGAGAAAGCGATGGTTATCAATTCTCTTGCGCAAAATTTGAACGAAGGATATGAAGACGGACGCTTGGGTGAGGGACTTCGACGTTGTTCTCAGGACAGAGGGGCTGATCAGACACTGAGTGAATGTCCAATGCCATAATCGTGAGGCGACACTTCATCTTGAAGGAGACTAGAAAATTATCTTCTGTGTATTAAGCCGAGAGCAATGCCTCACGTGTTGAAACTATGAAGAATTCTTTTAAGGTGGGTAGTCGAAGAGTTTTGAAGATCGTTAACGCGACCGAGACAAAGAAATCCAAACATGATACGTGGGAAACATCGACGGGGTCAATACGAAACAACCATAGCCGGAGGACGTACCGATCGTTTGGCAACATCTAGGAGTCTTTCTGGAGGAGCTGTCAATAGGACCACCAAGTGAGCACAACAAGTTCGAGACCGACTCAACCACAGGAGCAACTGAAGATGGGACTGGAGACACTTAGACAAGAGAAGCTTTACGCCATGATCTAGAGGTGTGAAAATTTAAGCAGTGGAGGAGTTGAGCTCGTTTAAGATTGCTGGCACGATTAGCTACCTGAGAGAGCTGACGTGACGGCCAACACTGTTAGTCGAAAGAGTCGAAGCAGGCTAGCCATTTAAATGCTCGGCAGGAGCTGGAGAATTAGAATTATTTCTGGCTGGAGAGCCGATATTAGAATTCTTTTGATGTCGATATATTTTCACGCAATAGATAGTGTCGAATTGGGAAAGGTGGTGGACTTGGAGCTCGGATTTTTGCCTTATTATATTTTGAAACCCTTGAAACGTTCGATATTGTATGATACCTAAATTCTATAAGAAATTGTTTTTGTTGAACCCTATATTTTTGTTGTTTTCGAAAGTTTTGTGAAAAACGTTTTCTTTTTGGTTACCTTGGAATTGTGAGCCCTTAACTACAAATTTCCTTGTCTGAACCTCGAGCCGAACGCCGACCATGGCTAGGTGTAGCCATGCAAAGTGGTGGGCGAGCACGCACGCCCGTGCTGACAGACGCGAGGCCAACTGCAGGGCCGACCGTTGACCCGCACGAGAGCTGCCACCACCATCACCGAATGGACGAATTCCCCAGGCAGTGTGTGAGGCCAAACCTCGACCGGTAGCGGGTCTCTAAGAAGGTATGCACGCACGCGACCCAGCGCCCCGTGTAAGCAGCGCTAGTGGGCGTGCCGCCTCTCGGGTGACAGCGCATTAATTCCAAACCATTTATCCCTTTTCGAGTTATTCGATCGATTTTTCGTGTCGAACAATAAGTTCTCCTTTTACCTCTTGAACCTCTTTTTCCAACCCTTGAACCAAGAGCTACAAGTTCCACTAAAGCGTGTATGAACCCCTTAGCCAATGATCTTCGATTAAGGGGGGCTTGTCGTTAAGTTTCCTATGCCACATGCGAGAGTTTCTCAAGTCGTCAAAATATGAAGTTTCAAATTGTTATCATGCGGAGCCTTAAAGGGCTATATTTGTATTGTAAGGTTTTTGTACAGAATGAGTCTTGTGCAAAAGTGTGTGGATATGAGTATAGGACAGGCCGGATTGGATCTCGTGCAATAGTGTTTACATATGAGCATGGGGCAGGGCGGATTGACCTCCTATGCAAGAGTGTGTGCATAAGAGCATGGGTGAGTCGGATTGTGTCCTGTACAATAGTGTGTACATATGAGCATAGGGCGAGTCGGATTGGATCATGTGCAAGAGTGTGTACATATGAGCATAGGGCAGGACGAATTGACCTCCTATGCAAGAGTATGTGCATATGAGCATAGGGTAAGTCGGATTAGATCTTGTACATGAGTTTGTGCGTATGAGTATAGGACAGGCCGGATTGGGTCTAATGTAAGAGTGTGTACATAAGAGCATGGGGCAAGACGGATTGAACTCTCATGCAAGAGTGTGTACATATGAGCAAAGGGAAAGTCGGTTTGGATCCTGTACAAGAGTGTGTAGATATGAGAACAGGGCAGTGCGACTAGAGAAAACAAGGACGAGTTTCGGAGGGGGTATCCGAACTTTGGGGTCTGAACGTCTCTCTTGTATATGTTATCCCTTTTGGTTGCTTGTCTTGTAAAATTTTCGAGGACAGAAATCTTTTAAGAAGGGCAGATTGTAGCCCTCATTCATTTTAGACGAGTTAGCGTATTTTTATAATATTTATTTATTCACCTCTTTTTTATTTTAGGTGTTTTGCTTGGCAAATCCTCGTTTGAGCTTCTGACGATTAATTGGAAGTAATCGTCTTGTTAATCTTTTTAGTCAAATGGTTCTTTTAGACGTGATCGTCTACTTAAATTATTTCCAATATTTATGACTTCGTTATTCGAGAATCGTTCGCCCGTCATCTATTATTTAATTTCACTCATCGAATCGTTCAGATAATTTTTTGTTTAATCGCGTAGTATTATTCGCGAACCGTCTTTGTTTCTTTTTGCAAACTTGGACTCGAATCATTATTGGACTTCACAAGAAATATAGTCTTGTTTCTTAACTTTCTTTATATCAAGAATAAATCCAAATAAAAACATTTATGTTCGTTATACGGGGACTACGCATATAAGAACAATCCAATTTTCTTCAACTTGGTTTTGTGGTTTCACGCATCCATTATCGAGTCGTTCGACCCGTTTTTGAGCCGTTGACCTGCTTTTCATGCCAAATCCAAATTTTAGCCATTCTATATATTTTTTCAAGTTTTTCCTCAAATCCGAGAGTTCCAAACTCCACAAAATTCCACGAACTCCTTAATCAATAATTTTGATTAAGTGAGGATTGTCATAAATCTCCGAGTTGTCAAGATAATTTTATGAGGAATTGTCTTGATTAAATGTAAGTTCCTGTGGAGTCGAGCCTCACCGACCTACCGAGCTATTTGTGTGCTATTTTTTGTGTTTCTTCGAACATGTGGGTGTTGATGAACCTTACTATGCTTTTATTTCTTATAATCGTGTGATTCCATAATCAATATGCGTGTGAACCACAAGTCTATTGGATTGATCTCCCGTGCAATAGTGTGTACATCTGAGCATAGGGTGAGTCGGATTGAGTCCCGTACAATAATGTGTACATATGAGCATAGGGTGAGTCGGATTAAGTCCTGTAAAATAATGTGTACTTATGAGCATAAAGTAAGTCGGATTGAGTCCCATACGATAGTGTGTACATATGAGCATAAGGCAGGATGGGATGGGTCCCGTGCGAGAGTGTGTGCATATGAGCATAGGGCGAGTCAAGTGGTAGATGTGGTGATCTGTATTCATGTTGCGATTATGTTGTCAATTATTATCTGAAATATATCGTGTAGTATTTCTACGGTGAGCTTGTTATCTTGTTCACTCCCACATTTAACATTTTCAGGTTGAGTTGGCAGCCGTGGTAATGACGAGACGAGGATGGTCTAGTCGTTTTCTAAAATTGCTTATCTTCTAAATTTGTTTATTATTCGCTCCCGCTTAATGTTTTTGAAACTAGTATAATGTTTTGTTTTGAGATATTACGATGAATGGGTTATATTGAGTTGATTATTAACTCATGCATTGATGTTATGATATATTGGGGCAATGAAGTCCCCATTGATTTGAACGTGAATGGTGTTTAGTTAAAATGATTTTGAGTAATGCGCGATAAATGACTTTTAGAATGAAAATTTGTTTGTGGAATTTATAAAAATTTATATTCATTTTTGGGAAAAAATAAATTTCTCTTTTTAAAACTTGAAAAATTCTTTTAAAAATAACGAGGAGTACACACACCTTATAACATATTAAACTGCAATCGCTTATGGAATAGACATAGTTTATAGTCAATAAATAGAAGGATAGTTTAGCACTTAAATGGCGGCAACTGAACAATGTGAATTTGGACACAATAAATTGACATAACATTAAGAAAAGAAATAACACAATATAACAGAGTTCATTTTGTACAATGAGTCTAACAAAATGTTGCAAAACATGATAAAAACAAATTTGCAAATGAACAACTGCAGTTTATAAGGAGACTCCCAAGAATAGGAGGCCACACAATGGGGCAAATGAATAATGTCCTGTTTATTTCATTTCGACTATGACATGCAAAACTCCTGTGCAGACAAAAAACAAACAAACAACAAGAATACCCTTATAGTTATTAATGAAAAAAGCATGTTCCGTATGCAAAACCTCACAAATTAATTTAGGATGGTATGTAGCTTACATGCTATGAAACAAAAGCTTATATCTATTGGTATTTAAAAATACATGCATTGCCTATAAAAAAACATACATACAAAAAAGACATATGTTGCATGTATTTTATTAGATGGCTCTTAGCAAGACCTGTATCTATCGTTGCCTAAATCAACAACAATGTTTAAGCAAATACAAGAAAGAAACACCCGTTCATCACCTTATAACTATATAACTCCAAACCATCCACTTAGTCAGAGACTATCTAAGATTTTGCAGGTTGCAAATGGAGTAATATCTTACAAACACATGAGAAAAAAAAATGATGATTAGAGCAAATAGAGCAACACCATAAACTGTAATAAAAGAACCACCATATAGATGAACATAAAAAAAAAAAAATCAATAAATAATGCAAAAAATAAAATACTTTGTGATCTCCATAAACAAATATCGTGTGATTGCCATTCTTAAGGAGTTAAATGCACACGACCAGAGATTTGTTGAAATGATGAGAGTTATTTGCCCAAACCTACATTGTCTGTCTTAAAGGATTTTCACACGACACTTGTGTGTTATTGGATGTTCAGCTTTGGAGCAAATGCCACGAGAAACACGGCGAAAATTGCAAAACGGATGGACCGTTGCGCTATTTGCAACTGATCGAGAAGATCTTTTCGATGAGTTATCCAGGTATGTAATTCTCTATTTCTACTTTCTTTTTTTCTTGTTTGTTTGAATTTATTGGTCAGTACCTTAGGTTTGATGGACATATTTGAAAGGCTATCAAGTCTAGTGACGTGGAAGCGTGAGCATGGTAAGCTTAAAGTTAAACAACTAATAATTATTATTACTAGTACGCCACCCGCGCGTTGTGGTGCTTGTTGTTAAAAATGATTAATTATATACATATTCATTTAGTTATTTATAACAAACATTATAATTACTATTTTAATGATAAATCTTACATTAAAATTTATAAAATTATACAAGATAATTATTATTGTTAGTATTATTATTATTATTATTTTACAAGTATCGGCACTACTGTGTCGAGATCAGAAATGCTTGACACTGCTCGTGAACCCAGAATTATTGACCACATGAATTAGTGGCGTTAAAGAAGAATGTAGTGGAAAATGTAAGAGGGGAGAATGCAGGAGGAGGGAAGAACACGGAGATCGGTGAGAATGCCGGGGAAAGAGCAAAGAAGATTGGACTCGAGGAGGTCTGCATGAGGTGCTTGAGCGACGGTACGCTGGAGAGGATCCATGTCCCTTTTTTCATAGGAGATGCGGGGATGACATCGACTTGCTGATTTAGTGTTAGAAGGTTTAGATGTTTGTTTGTGTGTATCAATCACACAAACTTCTAAACCTTCTAACACTAAATCAGCAAGTCGATGTCATCCCCCGTGGATCCTCTCCAGCGTATCGTCGCTCAAGCACCTCACGCAGACCTCCTCGAGTCCAATCTTCTTTGCTCCCTCCATGACATTCCGACATATCTCCGTGTTATCCTCTCCTCATGCATTCTACTCTCCTACATTCTCCACAACATTCTCCTTTAACGCGACTAATTTCATCTGGTCAATAATAATAATTCTAGGATGTTCACGAGCAATGTCAAATATTTCTGATCTCGACATAGTGGTGCCTATACCTGCAAAATAATAATAATAATAATAATAACAAAAATAATAATTATCTTGTATAAATTTTACAAATTTTTATTAAAGATTATCATTGAAATAGTAATGACAATGATTGTTAGANGAAAGTAGAAATAGAGAATTACATACGTGGATAGACATCTTCTCGATTGGTAGCAAATAGCCCAACAGTCCATCCGTTTTTCCCATTCTCGCCGTGCTTCTCTTGGCATTTGCTCCGAAACTGAGCATCCAAGAGCATACAAACGTCTTGCACATATCCTTTATGACGAACACGTAGGTTTGGGTAGATAAATCTCATCCTTTCAACAAATATGGGGTCGTGTGCATTCAGCTTCTCAAGAATGGACTCCAAACGATTTCTTTCTTTTACATCAGCAACAGGCCCGAAGCCCCCTTTTCCCACAACCCTTCTTGTACCTCGACTAGCGAAGTCCAGGTCATTCGAGCGCACATCATGCACGCTGAACGGCAAATCAAAATTCAATGTGTTGATGTTGAGTCCATGCAACTGATATGCAGTCCTCACGTACATCAGCACTAAATCTAACTCTAACTGCTTAGGAGGCTCCTCAATAAGCTTCTTATCCTGTACAAATGCATAAAACAATAATCTTAACATGTCCATCCAAAAATAACTAGCAAAGCAATTTTTTATTTTTGTTACTAAAATTAATTTTACATTTTACTTACAGGGTCCCTAGATTTCACGTCCCTAGATGTCTCGAGAGTGGGAAACAGGAATAGGGTCGGTCGAGGAGGGCTTTTGGGTCTGAGTATATTGCCTAAAGAAAGTTGTGGGCACACTCGAGGCTCGGCAGAGGAGCAAAATGGGGCAGAAGTGATGGTTAATGTGGAGGCAACGGTGGAGTGTGAAGTCGTGGTGGATGTAGAGGGAATGGTGGAGCATGAAACAGTACAGATTGTGGAGGGAATGGTGGAGTGCGAAATGGTGGAGGATCTGGAGCGAATGGTCGAGCGTGAGGATGCAACTGGGAAGAAGGTTGTAGTGCCACGAAGCGATTCAGATTAAGATTTTGTTTTTTCGCCATAGAACTTGATTCAATTAGAGAGAAGATAAAAAAAATTCAATTTCAATAACATGAACAACAATAAGGCACAAATTAATCAACACAACTTCTCATATGAACAATAAGGCACAAATCAATGCAATGGTTATCTTCAGAAGTTGATCAACATAACTTCTCATGTGAACAACAATAAGGCAGAAATATATTTTATCATATCTTTCTCATGTGAACAACAATAAGGCACAAATTAATCAACACAATACACATCATTCAATAAATCAGAATTCACAGTCCACAGACCACACACAATCCTCCGAAGTTGCTCTTCATTTCTCAGATATCATAGACCATTGGTTATCTTAAATTTCAGAAATAAGAAAAATAAGAAAAATCAGTTCAGCTTCAGCCATCCTTACCACAAGAATGTCAGGTATCCGTTGCCTCTCGGAGAAGCTGCCTTGCCGTCGCCGCTCACCTCTCGCAACTCGCCGGCGCCGCTCCCCACTCCCGCCGTCCGAGGTCACCCCGCTGCTTGCCGCACAATGGTCAGTGTTGCTTGCCCGCTTGAGAGAAGAATGAGAAAGACGATGGATTACAATTTAGAAGATTAGGGCTTCTGGTGAGTACTTTGGGAGAAGAATGGGTTGTGGTCGTGATAAAGATCGCGTGTCCCGATTGCCGATAAGCCACAAACTCGTGCCTTGAATCGCCGATAGGTGCCTCGAGGTTTGCACAACCGCACCCCTTGAAACAATAAAATTGCAAAAGAAATCGAAAAGATATCTAAGGCAAAGTGTTTGAACAAAAGTTCGGTTTTTCTATTAATTTCTGAATGAATAATTTTGAATGACAATGGGGCATATTTATAGATGTCAAACTAAGTCTATTCCCAATCTAAAAAGAACTCCTAATGCTTGGAAATAAATAAAGTCCTAAGGAACTAAATCACTAATTAAAGCAATAAAATATTAAAGTCCTAAACAATCTAGAAATCATAATGGAATAAGGAAACCAAATAACTAAGGGATCTTGAAAAGCCTTGACTTGCACTCCAAGCCAAACATCCCAACCGCCTACTCGCCGCCCTTGGTTCTCGCGCGCCTTGCCTTAGTCCTCGAGGATTAAGGTCGCGCCGCCCGTCCCCGCGCGTGCTTCCCCATTGCGCGCCCCGCTCGATTCCTCGCGCCCAGCGGACTCCTCGCGCGCGTCCCTGCCACCCGAAACCTCCTCGCGCGCGTCCCTCGCGTCACGCGCGTCCGCGCCACTCACCTCACCTTCCGCGGCCACCTTTTGCCCGAGCGCTAGCCGCGCGCTCTTGCCCGTTAGGTTCCCCTCGTCGGCCTCGCATGCCCCGCACGCGATGGCCTGCGTCCCGCCCACCTGCCGCGCTAACCTCTTGCGCGCATGATAGGCTCGTCTTGAGGCGTTCTTCAGTTGCCTAGCCACATCCGCATCAGGTCGCCTCTACTCAAAAACTAATTTGATGCTTGGATACAAATTTATCTAAAAAAAAATTAAATCATTTTTAACTTAATTATTTTTTTTAACTCAATTCCACTATCATCAATATTACGAATATAATTAAATAATATCAATCAATCATTCTTATACACAACATCAATTTTAATTCACTATTTATCCATTCATATAATTTTAACTAATAGTCACTTCAAATGATTTCTCTCATACTTTTACATCAAATCAAATTTAATTATTTTATTTTAAAATTATTTTAATATATACACTATCAACTAACTAAATACATTTTTTTTTTCTTTTTTGGTACAAAGAAGGATGCTAAAACACTAAGCTAGAACTCGTCGGGGATACGACACCCCGATATTGTCGTGATCAATCCAAGTGCCTAGCCCCGCCGGAGGCGAATTCAAACGATGTAAACCAATCGGATAGGATGCCGCCAAGCCCGCCAAATGGTCGGCCGCAAAATTAGCTTCCCTATATATGTGTCGTATCTTAACACTCCAATCTCGTTGAATCAATTCTCGGATAGCTCGAATCAGTGCATCATGGGGCCCCAAATCTTCTTCCGAATCGCACACCATATGCTTCACGCACAGACTATCTACCTCCGCCATAACATTCCGGAATCCTATCTCCCAAGCCACCAATAGCCCCTGAAATATTCCCCACAACTCAGCTCCTGTAATAGTGCAAACTCCGATGTTAAATAGAAAGCCCGCAATCCATCGTCCTCCCTCATCACGGAGTAATCCCCCCGCGCAGCTCAAGCCTGTGACGGTAGAAGCGGCTCCGTCCAATTTGATTTTAATCCAACCAGCTGGGGGAGGATCCCACCGAATCATCCTAGTAACATGTACAGCTGCTCCCACCCGTACATAATCCGCTCTCGCACGGGAATAACTCTCCGTTAGCCTCAGAACTTCCAGCCGACGAACCTCAACAGCAAGGCATTTGTTCTTGAAAATCCGCGCGTTGCGCCAGAGCCATGACCGCCATGCACCGATGGCAAATGTGCTGCTCCACTCCTCGCTACCCCTCCCTCGCGCCATCGTGAGATTCGTACGCAACCACTGGTCCAGGGATAGTCGGAAAAAATTTCGACCATAATTCGGCGGTAATAGGCGAAGCCAGAGGTCCCGCGTGGGAGGGCAATCTCTAAGAACGTGCAACGCAATTTCCATTTCCCCACACAGCTCACAGGCCGCAGAAGCCGTTATATGCTGCCTGGCCCGTTCGACATTAGTAAGAAGTCGGTCCTTGACGGCGAACCGCAGAAATGTGCAAGCTCGCTGTGGTGCCGGAGTACTTCAAATGGTGGTCCACAGCGGTTGATGGTTGTCGCGCAGGGTGGAAGACAATGAGTTGTACGCAGATTTTGTCGTAAAACGACCGTTCGCGGACAGGCCCCATATCAGGCGGTCCTCCCCGGCAGCCGCGCGTGGTGGTAAAGTCCCAGCGATCCGCAGTACGATAGACGAAGGGAGGATGCCGTGAAAACAAACCCATTTCCATCCTCCATCTGAGTCGACCAAATCAGCAACAAGAGCATTGGTATTAATCGGCTGTACAGAAGGGTCAACAAACCGTAACAGCGGCCCACTTGAGTCTAACCATGAATCAAGCCAAAATTGAGTTCGTTCGCCATTGCCCAATATCCACCGGACACCTTTAATTACATGTGGCCAGACAAGACGAACCGCACGCATTAACTGCGAGACATGCCGTCCGGTTCCTAAGTCCAGCGAGGCCGATAAATTCAAGTTATACTTAGCCGAAATTACACGTACCCACAGAGAGTCAGGTTTATTTAATAGTCCCCAACCTACTTTCATCAAAAGAGCATCATTCAGGCGATGGAGGTCCCGGATACCCAACCCGCCTTCGTCTTATGTTTGCACACCTCCTTCCAAGCCACTAGATGCATTTTCTTTCGGGCTTCAGTACCACCCCAAATAAATGCTCGACATTTCTTAGCAAGGCCTTCTGTTGTGGACTTCGGTAACATGTTCGTTTGCATCGAGTAGAAAGGTAGGGTGCTCAAAGTCGACTGCGTAAGGGTCACCCGTCCAGCCAATGAAAGCGTTTGCATACGCCATCCACCTAACCGGGACTCCGTCTTTTCCAGGATATTGTGATAGGTAGCTTTGGTCAACCGGTCATGAAGGACAGGTACACCGAGGTACTTCCCCAGATTATTCGTCAGTTTGAAATTAAGGGCCGTCGAGAGCCTTAGCCGCTCATGTGCCGGCACATTATGAGAGAAAAATACTTGCGTTTTTTTCGGGCTAACGCGAAGGCCTGACCGGTAACAAAAGTTATCAAGTACCTGCCGTAAAATAATTACCTGATCATCCGAGGCCTCCAAGAAGAGCAGTAGATCATCAGCAAACATCATAAATGGAACGGTTACCGCATGACGGCCAACCGAGATAGGCCGCCAGGCCGAGTTCGCCACCGACACACGGATTCAAAAATTAACCAAACCAAACCAAAAAATTCAAACAAATTCAAAAATTTTTATATCCAAGCATCCCCTAAAGAGTTTTGGCGGGCCTTTAAAAGCATGGCCCAACCCGCCTATTGTATTTTATCATAATATATGCACAGATTTCATTTTTGAAATAAAACGTGTAATACTGTAATTTAGTTTTAATTTTATACGTTAATCTTGTAAATCAATTGACAATTACTAGTTCCGATTTTTTTAACTCTTTTTGCAATNTGGGAAGCTAACTAATGCACCGATGTAGATGTTAACAGAAACAATACTAGAAAGAAACGGGCCAAGGCTACTGCTAATTTCTAACATGTTGATTTCATATTGTACAAAAAATGAAGAGGCAACTTCGTTGACCCAACGAAGGAAGCGAAGCGAAGTGGATTATGTACATGAGTCAACAAAACAAGAGCTTTTAATTATAATACACGCCAACAAAATAAGGTTCTAGTTGCATCATTATTCCTCTACATAATTCAGCACCATATGCTTAAAATATTGCCATGGATATATACAAAACACTAAATGTTCAATTTTCATGGCATTTGTTCCATCCAAAAGTTCATAATTTACAAAACATGTAAATCAACATAGATTATGCACACTAGTCCATGGATT